CTGTGCTTTACTGACAACACAAAGACTTTTGATTGTGTGGATCATGACAAGCTATGGACAACATTGCAAAAAACATGAGTTTTCCAGAACACTTAATTGTGCTCATGAGGAATCTGTACCCAGACAAAGAGGCAGTTATTCGAACAGAACATGGAAACACGGAATGGTTTAAAATGAAGAAAGGTGTGCAACAAGGTTGTATTCTTTCACCATACTTACTCAACCTGTATGCTGAGCAAATAATCTGAGAAACTGGGTTATATGAAGAAAAATGTGGCATCAGGATTGGCGGAAGACTCATTAACAACCTGTGATATGCAGATGATACAACAAATGATACACTCTTGCTTGCTGAAAGTGGAGGACTTAAAATATTTACTGATGAATATCAAAGAGCACAGCCTTTGGTATGGATTGCATCTCATTGTAAAGAAAACAAAATTTATCACCACTGAACCAATAAACAACATTCTTACCAACAACAGTCTTATCAAAAGATCAAAATTGTCAAGGACTTCATTCTTCTTGGATCAACTATCAACACTCATGGAAGCAGCAGTCAAGAAATCAAATGACGTATTGCATTAGGCAAATCTGCTGCACAAGACCTTTTTAAAGTGTTGAAGAGTAAATATGTCAGCTTGAGGACTAAGGTGCGCCTGACCCAAGCCATGGTATTTTCAATAACCTCATATGCATGCAAAAGCTGGACAATGAACAAGGAAGACCATAGAAGAATTGATGCCTTTGAGTTGTGGTGTTGGAGGAGAATACTGAACGTGCCGTGGGCTGCCCATAGAACCAACAGATCTGTTTAAAGAAGTGCAGCCAGAGTGCTCCTTGGAGGCCAAGATGGCCAAACTTCGTCTCTCATACTTCAGACATATTTTCAGGAGGGACCAGTTGCTGGAGAAGCATATCATGTTTGGTAAGGTGAAGGGTCAGAGACAAAGAGGAAGACTCCCAACAAGATAGAATGGCCAAATGGCAGCATTGATGGACTCAAGCATGGCAACGGTAGTGAGGTTGGCCCAGGATCAGGCAGTGTTTTGTTCTGCTGTGCATAAGGTTGCTGAGTCCATACTGACTCGATGGCACCTAACAACAACATAAAAGACTTGAATTTAGGTTTTTTTCTCCCTTAGGACAGAGGCATGGGACACATTCTCCCTCAGATCTCTTAGTAGGAAATCAATGCTGTGGGCATCTTGAATTCAGACTTGTAGCACCCAGAACTGTGAGCAGTCAGTTTCTGTTCCTGTTAGCTACCCAGTTTGTGGGGCATTGTTATGGCAGCCTTAGGGCACAGCTGTTTCCTAGAGTAGTGCCTTTTCCAGTTCTTGGAAGGATTCTGGGAAAGCCAGTGTTTGGTGCAGAAGATAGCACATGGGTTATAGGATTTGACCCCGAGGGTTGGAGGAAGGAGGGAGGAGGGAGGAGGGAGGAGGGAAACATATCCTTGTCAGGAAATCCTTTGTGGACACACATTCTCTAAATACTTCCAGTGTTCAATTTTTTCCAGAGTAGCATTTTCTCAATTATCTGCAGAGTAGCTCTTTAATACCATTTTCATTTGAATACTTGGATTTTTCCTCCCTGCCTCCAAATAATACATGGCTTTCTACAGATCATTGCTACTTCAGGGAAATGGCCCTAAGACAGTCACATACAGGCCATTATATTGTTTATGGGGCATGGCCACCTCCACTGTTCCTTGTCTACTTATTAAAAAATCTTTTAAGGTCAAACAAATATAAGGCATTTAAAGAAAACACCGTTGAATGATTTGTCTGATAAGCAATGTGAAAGAGTAGACTAAAATTGGCTAGAGAGGAGATAGGAGGAAAAAAAAAATGACTTGCAGATTCATGATTTTAAGGTCTCCTTTAATATATCAGTTCATTTTGAGCATGTTATTTATCAATAGTTCTTTAGTTTTTAGATACTTTAAATTATGCAAACATTTACAATCATTCTTAAAGTAAATATTAAACTGCATACAAAGATATCTGCAAAGGCCTTTTGGGGGTGGGTGGGGCACGTGAGGTGGTTGGGGTGGGTGTGTAGGAGGTAGGAATTCTAGCAACAACCACTAATTGATTTAAAAACCTAATACAGAACACAGCTTTGTGGACATAAAACAGTCTATGGCCACTGTAAGCCAAGTGTTAGTATATAGAATGCGCTCACAGTTTGAAACCAACAAAAAGTCTTTTCAGTACATTTATACAATCAGTAGTTAATTCAGGGAATACTATTATGAGGTAGTTCAGTAGCAATTCTTCTAGCTTAATGGTAACAGAGAATGAAAGATTAAGGCTATTCAACTATACCAATACACCTATCAAAATCTCTACCCACAAACTATGTCTGGATTATCCAAGTGAGGAATTTGCAAACTCTCTCGGGAGCTCTCCTTTAGGTACATGGAGTACTTACTTTCACTAATACAGGAGACAGCGCTCATTCCGAGATTGCAAACACAACACAGGTCTCAATCATTCTCTACTGGTTTACCACTTTGTTCCCAACCCCTCTGATGATATTACTACCTCCCCCCCTTTGATCTTCACCTACAAATGTTTGGGCCAGGAAGGGGTAGGGAAAGTAAAAGAAAGGCCAGAGTGTGGGCAAGAGTAAAAGCAGCACCTGATGCGGTTTTTCATGGGGGGGGGGGCACTCATTATCTGATTTAAAAATGTATCAGCTGAATCTTTAGCCTAACCTATGAATAAAATCGCATGCTGAAACAAAACACAATCCCCCACCCCAATAATTTGGTATTAATAAATAATTCATGCTATTTGTGTGAAAATTAAGGCTGAAATGCAATACGGTCCACATGTCTCTGCTGATCCTGAAGACGGTGAATCCTCAGTATTTCATTTACTTGAGCAGACTGAGCAAAAGACTGATTTTAATTATTCTTGGCAGGCATAATGTTAGAGCAGAATATGTAATAACTTTAGGATGTGCTGTGACATTCACATGAAACCTGTGAGCCCAAACTTGGTAGACTGCTGGGATTTTCCGGGTTTCGCAGGGTTTCTGCCTTTGACAGGGTGCAGTCACTTTTCTATTGCTCTCCATTTAGTGAAAATATCTGAGTTTTCCTTCTCTGACAGGATTACACCTTACATAGCTCCTACTGAATTTAAAGAGTCCTGGTGTGGTGCTGTAGGATAAGCACTAAACTGCAAGATTGGTTTGAACCACAAGGTTGGTGGTTCAAACTCACTAGCCACTCCTCGGAACACTATACAGGATTGTTGAGTCGGAACCGACTTGATGGCACTTAACAATAACAACAACTGAATTTAATGTTAGATTAGAAACAAATCTGAGCTCAATGTCTTTGGTGTATTACTCCATGGATGCATTTGTGTATTGGGAGATAGTTTTACATTGCACATTTGAGATGTGTCTGGTTTCTAACCAGGTTCCTTCCCCCATACCAGGTGACCAGTTGCCATTGTGTGTATTTTAACTCATGACAACCCTGTGTGTGTCAGAGGAAAACTGCTCTGTAGGGTTTTCAGTGGTTGATTTCTGGGAAGTAGACTGCCAGACTGTTCTTCCAAGGAACCTTTGGGGGGGGGAGGGACTTGAACCTTCAACCTTTTGGCTAGCAGCTGAACGTGTTAAACATTTTGCACCACTTACAGACTCTTCCTTCCTCTATACTATGGTACATATTAGTGCAAATCTTGAGTATTTAGTAGTAGATTACAATATGACATCTGCATTAAAGAATGTTAATATCTCATCCAATAAGCCAGAAAATCTTATGCTGCTTGAATATGCAGGTTTTGCTATGCTTCTCATGCAATAGTAAAGGTTTTCAAGATTTGTTTTCTTCATACCATGCATTTGTTTCCCTTTGATTTAGTCAGGGAGCATGCTTGGTATTTTCTTTAGCACAAATTATTCTAAGGATAAATCTTATTCCTAAATACTTTCAGATTCACTCTGTTAATTAAAATAAATTCAGGCAGAATCAGTCCAATTTGAATACCCATCTAAGAATGAGCTTACACCACCATCCAATCTAGAGTGCAAGTCAGTTCCATTCATGCTGCATTCTTTATGGTTAAATAGAAAATGCATTTTAATTTCAGATGCTTTTACTTTTAAGGTTGGTTATCCCTTTTACTTTTAAGGTTGGTTATCAAGGGAAGTATCAAATATGAGGGGGCTTCAAAAATGTGGACAACTGAATGAAAAGATAATGGAAGTTTTCCATGGACTTTTTGAAGCTCCCTCATAAAAGAGGCTTCAAAACTTTGTTAGGGGCCATAAGTGGAAATGACTATTGATATTTGTATTTATATATATTTGAGATCTTTGTGGTAACATGTGAAAGTGTAAACTAGCCAACATAATCATTTTTCCCTGAAATCTATCGTTAGTGTAAAACAATATACTATCATAATTTTCAAAGACTAGTCTGCTGTGATTGAAATGAAACCAACATTAATTGAGCACCTATAAGACTGCTTGTTATAGAGTCTAGTTCATTTGTCAATAGCAGACTATCACTGCCCCAGAGTAGTATATCTCTTCTGTGTACGAGGGAGGCCTCAAAACAGTCTGTGGGAATATGGCATTAGAAGATAATGGAATTTTTTCCATGAACTTTTTGAAGCCCCCTTATATGTATGTGTGTTTGAGGATGTTAGCTAGGTTTCTTTACTTCTGAAACAGCTTGGAGGAGTCTTATCTACTTTTCTTCAGTTGGATTGTTGAATAAAGTATTCCCGAAAGCAGACACAAGGATCCCAGGTATGTTGGAAGTATGCCTTCTCCGAAGACACTTAGAATCTTCATTTTCTTAGGGGCTATTATTATTGCTTTGTTCATTCAAGGAAGACTTTGGGGCATAAAAATAGAACAGAGCGTGTCAAGCAGTTCTCTAAAAACTGTACTTTGGTCTCTAGACTTCTGAGTCCTTAGGAATGAAATCGGTTCCCTTGTTTATGTTCCCGATGGTTTAGCTTATCTTAAAATAAAAATGGCAAGAAAGCTTTCCTATGTTTTGGGTAGGAGACAAACTTGCTTTTGTAGAATTTATGGCTGAGGAAAGCGGCCAGGGCCTGGCTGAAGAAGACGTATGTTACCACCAGCCACCACGTTATGTTGTGGAACCCAAAGGTGACGGCCATGGAAATGTAGATCATCAGCTCTGCTAAGTAGTTAGGGGAAGAGACATACTCAAACCAGTCTCCAAATGGAATTCGGTGGTTACAGTGAATGACCACTCCTGAAATGGAGAAAAGACTTCATTAGCATGAATTTGAACAGCTGCACTTCCCAATCAGGCATTAAAAAACTTTCTTTTGAGAAGAGTTCCACACAATCTGTGTGCAAAGCACCTTCTGTGGCACACCTCCACTGTCACTCTTCTGCATGCTAAGTCGCATGCTTAGGTTGCAATATCAACTATGAATAAGCCAAAAACAGGAAGCCCATTCATGTAGCAAACCTGAAAACTCGGAATTAATAGCACAGACTCTGGAGCCAGAATGTACAGGCTCAATCCTGATTTTACCATTTGCAGGCTGTGTCTCTTGGAATGACTTCTCTGTGCCTCAATTTGATCATCTGTTAAATGAAGCTGAGATTGTAACCCATCTCCTCACTGGTCAGGCAGAGACTGGTGGAACTTAGTCATCCTTCAGGTCTGGAACTGAATTCACCTCCATGGCTCAATGTTCAGCCAAACAACAGGGAGGCTTATAGAGGGGACAGTAACACTAGGGAGGCACTTACTCCTTACAATAATCAACCAGTTGAGATCATAAGGGCAGCATTTACTCAAGGACAAAGTTCAAAAGGGTTGGGAGAGAAAGGGAAAGAGAAATGGAAACAGGAAACACAGGGAGAAAGTGGAATATGTGAGGTTACAAATGAGCTGAAACAAAATATGTATGAATTGTTGAATGCAAAACTGATGATCTGCTCTGTAAACCTTCATCCAATACACAACAAAAAGTTAAATTAAAAAAAAAAAGATTTGTGCCCATCTCATGGATGCATTTTGAGGCTATATATATATGGACCACTAAGAACAGGGCTTGGCACAAAACACCAAACCCACTTCCAATTCTGACTCACGGCATACCCTATAGGACAAAGCAGAACTGTGCCGGAGAGCTTGCAAGGCTGTAAGTTGCCACAGAAGCAGACTGCCACATCTTTCTCCAGGGGAGGGGCTGGTAGGCTTGAACCACTAGTCTTCTGGTTAGCATCCAAGTGCTTTAACCGCCATATCACCAGGTTCCCTTGGCACAAAATAATCACGGGCTGTTGTTGTTAAGTACTGTGGAGTCAGTTCTAACTCATAGTGACCCTGCACAGGGTTTCCAAGGCTGTAAATCTTTACGGGAGCAGAAAGCCTCACCTTTCTCCCGTGGAACGGTTGGTAGTTTCAAACTGCCAACCTTGAGCTTAGCAGCCCGATTCGTAACCACTACGCTACCAGAGCTCCTTAATCACAGGATAGATGTTAACATTATGATTTCAGTCTCAATATTTCAAAAAGCCTAATGGAAAAACTGTACAGATGAGAAATCAACCTGAGTTAAAGAAATAGTCAAGCCTTTTTTGACTCTGGCTGCAATGACGCTAACTCAGCACGCTGTTCAGACACATCTGTGCTGTGCCGGCCCCAACACATGGGCATAGGAGAGAATCACAGACTGTCAGGATTAGATGGCACCACAGAGCTCTTTCAGTGTAACACTCCCATCTTACAGACGGAAAGTCAGGACCGGACCCAGAGGGGTGCTGTGACAAATAAGACAACTCATTAGGGTGGAAAGGAGAAGAATGAAGGTCATGCGCAAGTCGCTTCTGAGGGTTAAACTGCACAAGCAATGGCTCTGAAAGTTACCTCACCTGTTTTGTTCTTCCTGAGATTGCTGAGAATTACATGGCACTTGTACTGATGGGCAGAGGACCAGATGAACATCATCATCCCGAGGATATGGAACCACCGCGCTTGCATCAAGAGATTTTTCCCTATTACATAGACTGCAGAGGTATGAATGATCTCATTAGCCAATTCTGCAAAAATTACCTTCATGTGATTAACATATCATTGAGTTACTTAGCAAGAGAACATACTTATCCACTTACTCTGTCCCTTATGACTAGGAAACTATCGTGATGTGACTTCCCCAGCAGAGGGGTTCCTCTGGACATAGCAGACATGCTCGCTGGTGGTGGGCATCTTCAGTGGCCCTTGGCAGAGAATTCTGTACATTTTTCTGCTCCTTCAAATGCTTGAAGCACACAGGTCAGCTCTGTCTCTTCTCTTATGATCTACTCTTGTGTTCTGAGACTACTTTGTGTTTCTACTCCTAAGCCTGGTTTTAAGTTTCCTTTCTTATATTCTACTGTCTGGAAAACACTTTCTAAAAGAAAACTCTCCTGTGAATGCAGAAGACTGACTACATTGGCTCTGGCCAAGGAGTAAAGCATTGGTGGGCAAGGGTGGGGCTTCTCAAAAAGAGGATAATAAAAAGTAAAATATGATGAGAGGAAAACTAGTTTGAGGTTTCAGGAGTAAAAACACCCCAAGTGTCATCTTCCTCTTTCTTCTCCAGTTAGCAGGGAGCAGGAGAGAACACAGGTCCCTCTAAGGACCTGGACAGTAAGTCAATGAGTCGCTGAACAGCCAATGAAAGACTTCCCAAAGTACCTCAGAAAGTAGTCAGGCTGACCAGGGTCTTGACTGAAGAAACAAAGCTGTCTATTGACAACGGGGAAGAGCCTGAGGCCCTGGAAGCAAGAGGAAATCCCTATTGGATTCAAGTAAAAGAACCAAAAGTCAAAACCCCATTGCCATCAAGTTGGTTCTGACTCACAGGGACGCTCCATAGGATTTCTAAGACTGTGAATCTTTATGGGAGCAGACTGCCTCACCTGTCTCCCACGTAGCAGTTGTGTTTGGACCTCTGACTTGTGGTTAGCAGCCCATTGCCTAACTCACAGTCCCTACCCCACAATGCCAGGAGGGCCTTACAGGTATCTTGAGATTAGCCATAGGTGGCCACAGATTGGCCAATCTCTAGATAGGTTTTATCAACTATGCCCAATCTCCAGGTATCTGTACGGTCCTGGTGGCACTGTGGGGTAGGTAATGACTACAGAGAGAGTCTGGAGTGGCAATGTGGGCTAATGTGCTGGACTGCAAAGTCGGTTTGAACCACAAGGCTGGTGGTTCAAGCTCTCCAGCCACTCCTTGGAAACCCTATACAAGGTCGCTATGGGTTGGAACCAACTCGACAGCACTCTACAACAAACAAGAGCAATGTCTACAGAGAATCTGGAGTCCTTGGCTGCCAAAGGGAAGGCTGGAGATTTGAGTCTCCCCAGAGACACCTCAGAAGAAAGGCCTAACGATTATTTCCAGAAATTCAGCATGGAAAACCCTGAGGGACGAGAAATAAAGAAAACAAAAACCTAAAACCCAATGGAATACAGTGTTATTTTGTCACATGAAGTCACCGGAGTAGGAGTCTACTCGATGCTGACAGTTTTTAAATCTATGTAATATTTACTCATGCATTCAGTAATGAATTGCTTGTTGAGTGTTTCCTGAGCCTGGGACAAGGGAGAGAACAGTGAATACTATGTCAGGCAAGATTCCTCTCCTCATGAAGCTGACATTCTAGTGGCAAGAGGCAGAGACAAACAGACAAATCAATAAACCAGATAATTTCTTGAAAAAAGGAAAACACAGCAATATAAGGGAGGGCGATGGGGGGGGGGAGGAAACTCTTTGACCACAGACTTTGTAAAAGCGGACACACTTGGGAAGATCTGAGAAGTTTACTTGTTCTTTTCATATTCACAACAATATGTGAAATCAGCGTTGTTGCGAAGTATCCTTGAGTCAGTTCTGACACACAGGGACCCCTGTATCGGGTTTCTGAGGAGTGGCTGGTGAGTCTGAACCACTGACCTTGCAGTTCAAACCGACCTTGCAGTCCAGTGCTTATCCTATAGCGCCACACCAGAACTTCATATGTATGTAATTTATACATGAAGCCAGGATTCAAACTGGGATGTGTCTGACTCCCACGTCCATGCACCTTTTCTGTGCGATGGGAAGTGCCCCAACGTGTTCTCCCTCATGAATTATTAAGATCAGCTCGTCCCTTATCACCTAAGCAACCCCATATGACTTCAAGTGTGGAAATAAAAAACAGCTCAGAAGGGAGTCTCTATCTAGAAAAGTACCAGAGGGAAGGCAGAATTTGGGGTTCAGACGGCAGAGACTAATTGAGGGAAAACTAGTGGGTTGAGTTTAGAAAGTTTCTCCAGGGTGGAAAACTGTTCCCCAGAAATGACAGCTCAAACCAAGATATGAGCTGAAAATGGAAATGCCACAGCAGAGAGCAGGGAGGAGTAACTCACTGGACTGAGTTCAGAGGAAGTAAGTGGAAAGATTTCAGTGGCCACAGCCAATAATTCAGGAATTGAGAAAGGCTGTTGATAAATCACACTTCAGAATCATTTAGCAAGCCAGAGGCCTAGTTGTACCACAGTGACAGACTTTCAAGAGGTGCTCTGACATGGAAATCAAACCTGAGGCGGAAGCTCACTGCAGTTGGAAACAGCCAGACCTCAGGCTCAGCTTATAGGACTGCACAGGGCTGCTTTACAAACTACAGCCTTGGACTTACAGAAGACAGTCACGGAACCGTTATGTCTGAGCTGATGGATACCTGGGCTGCAGACCGTGTTTATCTCTGCACTAAAAACTCATTTTAATCTCCCAGATCATTTGAATTCTTTGTATTAAGCATGTATGAGTGACCTTTAAATGTTCACTGAAAAATGGAATTAAAAGATAATGGAAGTCTTCCAGGAACTTTCTGAATGTTCCTTGTATTGTTTTTACAAAATGTACAGTCATTATTTTAGATAACAAATCCCTACGGGCAAACTATTGAATGATGCAGAAAGCATTAAAAGTATCAAAAGAAGATGGAAGGAATACTCAGAGTCACTGTATCAAAAGGAAATGGTCGATGTCCAACATTTCAAGAGGTAGCATATGAGCAAGAGCCAATGGTACTAAAGGAAGAAGTCCAAGGTGCACTGAAAGCATTGGCAAAGATCAAGACTCCCAGAATTCATGGAATACAAACTGAAATATTTCAACAAATTGATGCAGCACTGGAGGTACTCACTCACTCATCTATACCAAGAAATTTGAAAGACAGCTTACCTGGCCCAATGTATAACATCATATGGTAAATGGAGAAAACATTGAAGTTGTCAAGACCTCATTTTGTTTGGATCCCCCACCAACCACACACTCATGGAAGCACATTCATGAAATCAAATGATGTACTGCATTGGGCAAATCTGCTGCACAAAATGTTGGTTTGAGGACTAAGGTGGAGCTGACCCAAGCCATGATATTTTTAATAACCTCATATGCATGTGAAAGTTGGACAGTGAATAAAGAAGATCATAGAAGAATTGATGCATCTGAGTTGTTATGGTGTTGGAGAAAAATATCGAAAGTACTATGGACGTCCAGAAGAACAAACAAACCTGTGTTGAAAGAAGTACAGCCAGAATGCAACAGGACAGCAAGACTTCTTGTCTCATATTTCAGACATTATCAGAAAGGACCAGTCCCTGGAGAAGGACATCATGCTTGGTAAAGTGGAGGGTCAGCGAAAAAGAGGAAGACCCTCATGAGATGGAATGGTACAGTGGCAGCAGAACTGGGCTCAACAGTAACGACTGTGAAGATGGCACAGGACTGGACAGTGTTTCCTTCTGTTGTGCATTGGGTGGATATGAATAGGAACCGACTCAACAGCACCTACCAACAACAAGGTCATGCCTTTGATTTCCCATTCCTAGCTAGTGAGTGTAGGATTTTATGACATAATTCTGATTTACCATACTACTCTTTTGCCTTTTCCCCTAAGGCTGCCTCACTTGAAGAAAAGATTTGTTATAATGGGAGCAGTCCCAGGACAAAATGGCATAAATATGGTGCTCTACACCGTCTAAGATGGTGGATCGGGTAGATGTACAGTGAGGAGCTCCATCACCAACAACACAGAATACCGGACCAAGCAGGCTCAGGGGATGGTGCTAGAACCCTGAACCACATATAAAGGAATATTTAGAAGATTGGAAGGCTTACAGCTAGGGGAATTTGTAAGAAGAATCAAGAAATCCACTGCTTTCTAATTCAAGACGCTAAACTACTCCCAGAGCCGTCATCTTGGGACAGATCAAGTGGGGGTAGGATCAGAACAGCCACAAACGCCTGACAGAACCACACAGATACAGGTGTGGACATTCTTTTTTTGGTGTCTGTTCATTGGTCTCTAGCTGTCTGTGCACCGCCATTCTGGTGAATAGAGGGGATGCCTGAGTGAATAGACATGCACCCCACCCCTGGAGGGTTCTATTAGGCATGAACACATATCTCCTTGAAATTTAAAGTGACAGTTTCCACTTTAAACCAAATGGCCACCACTCATCTGTCAGTTTGTCTTACTGTGGTGACTTGTGAGTTGCTGTGATTCTGAAAGCTATGCCATTGATATTTTAAATACCAGCAGGGTCACCCATGGTGGACAGGTTTCAGATGAACTTCCAGATAAAGACAGACTAGGAAGAAAGAGTGACGAACTACTTCTGAATATTTAGTCACTGAAAACCTTATGAATAGTGGAGAAACACTGTCAGATACAGTGCTGGCAAATCAGCCCCTCAGGTTGGAGGGCACTCAAAATGCGACTGGGGAAGAGCTGCCTCCTCAAAGTAGAGTTGAGTGTGATAACGCAAATGGAATAAAGCTTGTGGGCGAAAAGCC